AGGTCCAGCGGGCTTTATTCTGTTCAGTTCTGCCACCACATTTCCGAATCAGATCCTGATCTGCAGGCGCTTGATTCAAACAGCAGGGGGACTCAATTCTCTGAGGCTCTGGGATGTGGGTGGGTGGCCCCTAAGCAGGGCCCCAGGGGCTCCTTCTTTCTGCCCCACAGTTTGCCACCATTCTCTCTCGAAACGTCCTCCGCTCCTCTCTGCCCGGTGCTGTCTCCCCACCTCGCCTTTTAGGATTTATGAATTTCCCGGTTTTCCTGGCCTCACCATCGCCCTGTGCTTTCCTGGCTCCCACCCCACGCCTTCCTCCCTTTCCGCATTCCTGGCCCTCACACTTGTCCCCTGTTTGAGATAAGAGCCCTGGATTCAACATAGCCTCACTTTCCTCTTTTTAAGTCACGGGTGTTTAATATCGATGCTGTCATTTCCCGAAGGCCCCTGCAGGTGTCGAGCACGGTTAAGGGTTTTGCACTTTTGCAGCTGTTTTCTCTCTTTTTTTTCCTTACAACAACCCCTGCGACCCCAACATTGTATTATTATTTCTATCTTGTTGATCAGAAAATGGACACATTACAGGGCTCAGGTAGTTAGGCCTGTTTGGAAAACCACGGTCAGTGAGACCTCGAGCCGGGGGCCCCCGCATCCCAGGTCCCTTTGAATCCAGAGTCTGGGCTCTTATCCTGGCTGTGGACCCAGCCTACTGTGTTCATCGGTCGGGAGCCTCCTCTCACCTTTTTCTTGAATAAACAAATAAATTCAAGTTTTTAAAATTGAGGTATACATATAGAAAAAAAATGTACACATCATGTGTGTATAGCCCAGTGACTGCACCAAGAGCACCTGAAAAACCCCTTCCCATGCCCCTTCCAGTCTCTAGGGGAACCACCACCCCAACTTCTTATACCAGAGGTGAATCCTGCCTGGGTCTGAACTTCTGTAAATGCAGTTGTACCATATGCATCCTTTTGTGGCTGGTCTCTTTCTGAATTCAGGCTTGAGAGATAGTTATAAATGTACACTATCCGTTTATAAATGCGCCCTCCTGGTTGATCTTACTTTCCCTAGTTCCTCAGTCAGTAAAGAGGGTAAGTTTCCTTCTGGGATCTCTTGAACGTTGTCACGATGCGCCATCAATGTGGACTTTCTCAAAGATGTGTGTGTGCTTCCCGGAAGTGAATAACAGATTCCAAGCTGTCTTGTTTGCTCCCCTGGTTTTTCCTTCCTGTGGGTCCCTCTGTGAGCCACACCCGCCCTGTGCCTCACTGGGGTTTGTTCATTCGATTAGGCCCTCCAGCACAGCAGACAGCGCCAGCTTCCTCCGAGGCCCCCTCTGACTGATGTATTAACAGCCATATGGGTTTCCCCTGGGACAGACGCATGTTCACAGCTTCTGGCAGCAGTTCGCTGCACTGTGAATCAATTTTAAACTGCCTAAGTGTGATGATCACAGACCTCCTGTGCGGTTTAAAGAAGAGGACACCTAGGGGAGAGGTGGGTATCTTCCAGAGACAAGCATACAGCTCTCTGTACTTTGTGCATCTATTTTAATCTGGAACATTTAACTCTATAATAAGCAGAGTTCCAGTTGAAGGGAGATAAAATTTCCTTCCCCTAAAAATCAGGAATTGCTAAAAGGGTACCTGATGGAAACTGCCCACCTAGAGGTACCCACCTTGATTCATGGCGAACAGAAAAACTAACCTTCACATCTGCCATTTTCCTCACAGCACAGAAGGCTTTAAGAGGCAAGTTCTCTCCCCACGTTTACCACCATTCATTTGTTATTTTCAGACCCAGGTCGTGGTGCCTGGTATCTGGGTCACATAATTTAGAATGTAAATAGACTTAAACCCCAGTTCTTGTGGTCTCATCTTCAAGGGCAATAATACAATGCTATTTGATTCCAACTCCAAATATCCTATAATAAATGGCATAGGTTCAATTAAGTGTAATGTGCATGTATTGAAATATCATGTGGGCTTGATACATTACTAAGGACGCTAAAGGATACTGTGAGCTAAAAATAGGAGATATAATAACGAAAAAGAAACAGACTCACCGACGTAGAGAACAAACTAGTGGTTACCAGTGGGGAGAGGGAAGAGGGAGAGGGATAAGTAGGGGTAGGGGATTAAGAGTTACAAACGATTATGTATAAAATGATCTGCAAGGATATATTGTACAACACAAGGAATATAGCCAATATTTTATAATAACTATAAATGGTATTATTTTATGAGTATATTATATTTTATAATTATAAAATATATTTTATTATAAAATAATAATGAGTATTATTTTATAGTAACTATAAACTCACAACCTTTAAAAGTTGTGAATCACTGTATTATACGCCTCTTACTTATATAATGTTGTACATCAAATATACTTCAGTATGAAAAAATAGGAGATTTAGTGGTTTGGTACTAAACCAAACCCTTGACATAAGGGCTTTGAGCTGTAGTTGTTTTATATGCATACTTATTTTCTAGGACATTCTTTGTGGTTCCCATTATGTGTACTCAGTCATTCAAATTAAGAGTAGTGTTAAGGATTTGGGCCAAATAGCTGTATAAGATTAGTTACTGGAACCAGTTTGCCAGGAGATAACGTATCTAAAATTGTGTCCTTTGGTCAGGGAGAAGGGGAAGTTCTTTTAAAAATCTTTTCATATATTTGATATTTTGTTTTGTTTTTTAGATTTTATTTATTTATTTATTTTTGGCTGTGTTGGGTCTTCGTTTCTGTGCGTGGGCTTTCTTTAGTTGTGGCGGGCGGGGGCCACTCTTCATCGCGGTGCGCAGGCCTCTCACTGTCGCGGCCTCTCCTGTTGCGGAGCACAAGCTTCAGATGTGCAGGCTCAGTAGTTGTGGCTCACGGGCCTAGTTGCTCTGCGGCATGCGGGATCTTCCCAGACCAGGGCTCGAACCTGTGTCCCCTGCATTGGCAGGCAGACTCTCAACCACTGTGCCACCAGGGAAGCCCGATATTTTGTTTTTATAGAAGGAAAATAACAGCATGTATTTTATTTTCAAGCTAAGGAAGTATGTGGTTTTATGTGCAGGCAGGTAGAAACCTGATGTCTTCTATCAATTTTAAGTTTTGTGCATGCTTAGTTATTTTTCAAAATTTGAGTTAGCATTAAAATGAAAATTTAAGTTCTGTATTAATGCCCAAGGTCTTTAGGATCTGTAAAGGGACTGCAAGGTGCCAATGATAAATTCCAGAAAGGGCCCAGACTTATTCCAGAAGGTTATGGGAGGGAGGAAGCCCTACGTACTTCATTTATTGTTTATGTATGCAGACCTATAGAAAAGCTTTAATGTTGAACTTCTAGATCACCGAGTGATGCTTTGGATAAGAAGAAAGTGGAAGCAGTGGTCTTCAAAGTGCCTAGTTCAGATGTGGGTGGGAAATAAAACGTTAGCACTCCTATATCTTCCATCCTCTACAGGGTCTTTTCTTTGTGCGTGCTTTCTAGTATTTGTAGTATATGAATGCTTGGAGTTTAAATAATTAGATTGTTAGAGAAATAATATGCTTTAAGATTTTAGTGTAGAAACAGAAGTGTGCAGTAGGATTAGGTTTGTTTGTATTTAACAGGGAAGAAAATAATAGCTTAAGTAAAATAGAAGTTTATTTCTCTCTCCCATAAAAGATACTGGCTGTCAGTAGCCCAGGGCAGGTATCACAGCCCCAGTGATACAGCCCCAGGTCTCACAGTGTCACCAGGACCTCTGCATTCTATCTTTCTGTTCTGTCCCCCTCAGCAATTGAGTTCCATCTTCAGAGTCACCTTGTGGCCCAGAAATGCTGCTGGAGCTCCAGTCATCTTGCTCATAGTTCAGGTAGCAAGAAGGAGGAAGAGAAGAAGGAAGGCACTCTCCCCTCCCTCTTTTTAAATTCTTTTTCTTTTCTTTTTTTTAATTTTTTTTTTTTTCCCCCCCGGTACGCGGACCTCTCACTGTTGTGTCCTCTTCCGTTGCGGAGCACAGGCTCCGGACGCGCAGCCGCTCCGTGGCATGTGGGATCTTCCCAGACCGGGGCACAAACCCGTGTCCCCTGCATCGGCAGGCGGACTCTCAACCACTGCGCCACCAGGGAAGCCCCTCTTTTTAAATTAATAAACTTATTTTTTAGAACAATTTTAGGTTCACAGCAAAATAGAATGGAAAGTACAGGTAGTTTCCATGTCCCTCAGGGTCCCCTTTCTTTCAAGTTATGAACTAAGTGCCGCCCAGCACCTTCTGCCTACATCTCGTCGGTCAGCACGTGGGCATACCTGGCTAGAGCAACACTGGGAAGAGTAGTCTTTTAGTTGAAAGCTTTGCTGCCTTCGATAAAACTGGGCTTTGTGGCCAAAGGAGACAGGGAGGTTGTTGAGGAGGAAACTTGAAGTCTTGTCACAAAGCCATTTGATGTAAGAGAATCTCTTTATTATTTTCTGTTAATTATGCAAAAGAGAGTTTAAGTCCAAGCCTTAAACTGGTACGTTTAGAAAGCTGTTTTTGTTTGTTGATGTTGAAATACGTGGTTTACCGTGTGTAATCATTATGAGCTCTCAAGGGCTTCATCTTAAGCATCAGAAATAATCATTTTAAATTATACTAAGGAATCATACAATTATACAGGGTACAAGAAGGAAGTATTTTATGTTAATTTGGAAGCACATGTAATGTTTTTTAACAGGATTTGAAGGAATGCCTTACGGAATGAAGAGCACAGTTTAAAAATCTTAAAAACGTTTTTTAAAAAGCATTTAATATATATCTTTTTTAACACCCTGGACTTTGGCTGTTATTTATTTCCTTTGTTTCATCAGTAAACACTTCAACTTATACTGATTTCAAAAGGAAGTCGTGGCAAGAATCTTTGCTCTGTCTTTCTCATAGAAGCGTGCTGTGGTAAGGACTAATTGCTTTATGATAAATGTTTTTTCTGTCTCCTCTCCCGTTCTTCTCTCTTCTCCCTAACCATCCCCTCCCCAAAAGCGCATACTCCTTCCACGTTACTGCGGACGGTCAGATGCAGCCTGTCCCCTTCCCCCCGGACGCCCTCATTGGCCCCGGCATCCCCCGCCACGCTCGCCAGATCAACACCCTGAACCACGGGGAGGTGGTGTGTGCGGTGACCATCAGCAACCCCACGCGACACGTGTACACGGGCGGCAAGGGCTGCGTCAAGGTCTGGGACATCAGCCACCCCGGCAACAAGAGCCCCGTCTCTCAGCTCGACTGTCTGGTGAGTGAGAAGGAGCTGGTGCACAAGGGTAATTTCCTCCTGGAGACTCAGTAAGGAAATCGCTGTCGGGGCCTGGGTTTTATTCCCATTATGAGGAAATGGAAGCCCATTCTGTTTCCTGTGTTAGCTATTTAGCTCTCCCCGCTCTCTCCCCTCAGCGTGAAGGTTTCATTTGTTGCTGTTTCAGTGGTTAAATCCCAGAGTTGATGGATTTCTCTTAAAACATATTTTAACAGTAGTTTACAGAAGCGGTTCTTGTTTGAATGTGTATTCAGAAGGGGGTTTCCCGTTTAATGGATGGAGTGCAGCTAGGCCTGGACTCTGAGCCCTGCACTCCCCTCGACTTTTAATTTCCCTACAGCCTTTGGATAAATATTGAAGAGTAAACATTTGATAACGTGGCATAAAACCATTCTGAACAGGGTCTGTGTTTTCAGGGAGACCTGGCTGAGTTTTATGACCTTAACTTTACGAACGAGTTACTAGATCGCACTGCAAGAAATCAGGGCAGCCTTCAGCAGGACGGGGGTGGTGGGAATGCTTCCCCGCCTCCCCCCAGCCAATACCGGGTTGCGTTTTTCAGGATCACAGAATACATCAGGACATGTTCTCTACACAGTAGCCACAGGATTTACACACCACGTACCATTGGCCTGAAGTGGACTATAGGCCGCCCTGCCCCTGTAGGGTGTCTGCCTGCACTTTGCTTCGGCATATGGTACACTTTACCTGCTGCCCCCCTGGCAAGTGGCAAGGATTCCTGAGAGGGTGTTTCCAAAACGAAGACTGACTGTGTTTTTGAGACAAAAAGCCTCTTTGGGCTAGTTCTTGGGTTTTTTTTTTTTTTTTTGCAATCAAATAACTTAAAAATATATCCATTAATGAAAGTTAAACATAGGGAAACATACTTGAACATCTTACGGAAAAACCCAAGCAAGCTTTTTGGCAGCCCAATGGTAGGAGAGTTTTGTAACACTCATCATCTTTTTGAAATTACATTGCTTAAAGTTTCTCTAATCTTTGAACAATAGGCCATGGTTAAAGCATACTAAAGACTCTGACTGTATCTGTTTGGGTCAAAGGATAGCAGTTATTTCTTTGTTGGGGAGGGTGGGGGTCATTTTAGGTCCCACCTCCCTTTTCTAATGTGTTGGTTTTGATGGAGAGATGCCGTCTTTTTTTTTTTTTTTTTGCCATACGCAGGCCTCTCACTGTTGTGGCCTCTCCCGTTGCGGAGCACAGGCTCCGGACGCGCAGGCTCAGCAGCCATGGCTCACGGGCCCAGCCGCTCTGCGGCATGTGGGATCTTCCCGGACCGGGGCACGAACCCGTGCCCTGCATCGGCAGGCGGACTCTCAACCACTGCGCCACCAGGGAAGCCCAGATGCCTTCTTTTATTCATTTTTTTGGCCTTTGGGTTGAGAGGCTTAAATATCACAGCAGCCATGTTACAACTTGAGAAAGCAGCTGTGTTCAAGTCTCAGACAAGGATCCATTTGGCTAATAAAGACACAGTACAAGCCTTAGGCAGAAACTTAAGAGTAATGAAAACCAAAGCATAGGTAGTATGTCTGCAGTTTCCAAATAGTAAGTAACGGAGGCTGATGAGGTCAAAGATTTATAAACTAGCTGTGAAAAGTGGTTTCTTTGTAAAGAAGTACATGTACCCTTACCTTACATCCACTGATCATCTCAGTTGCGTCTACTCAGCAGGAAATTGGGCTTCGGCGGCAGTTATATCTAAGCCTTCACACATGCCGAGCAATCCTGTGAGTTTGCTTTGTTTACGACTTCAAAGGAGCCAGGGGCCATCAGATGCTGATCTTTACTACAGAACGCTTGCTTTGGTAGTGTCCCCGAAATACCACTTTTTAAGTCAACAACGGAGACAGCAGTTAGAGAACATGGCATTGTTACTGCTTGGTCATGCATTATAACAATTGAATTATGTTTATTTCACAGAACAGGGATAACTACATCCGTTCCTGCAAATTGCTCCCTGATGGCTGCACTCTCATAGTGGGAGGGGAAGCCAGTACCCTGTCCATTTGGGACCTGGCGGCTCCCACCCCGCGCATCAAGGCAGAGCTGACGTCCTCGGCCCCCGCCTGCTACGCCTTGGCCATCAGCCCCGACTCCAAGGTCTGCTTCTCATGCTGCAGCGACGGCAACATCGCCGTGTGGGACCTGCACAACCAGACGCTGGTGAGGTGAGCAGGGGTGGTTTCCTGAGTGGGGCTTCCCTGCTTGAGTACCTGGGTCAAAAGGCCCCCTATTACCCCTGCTTCTCTGCCGGCCCCCAGGCTCAGCCCACACGTGCCAGGCTTGGATCTGGGTGTCAGTACCGTATCACCGCCCTCAGAGGGCTTACGGTCTTGTGGCCACACTTGGGTGTCACCCAGGCTTTATATTTACCTCCCTAATGTTCCCGTTCTTCAGCCACATACACATGCCAGATTTGTTTAAAAAACACTCCTGGCTTTTGCCAAGGGGCAGCATACCATGGATTAGATGGAGGTACAAAAGGTCCTCAATACTAGATGTTTTTGGCTTTGCCTAGAACCTCGTATGTGCGCACAGGAGCCAGCTGATAAAGGATGACAGAAAATCAACAAAAGGACATTAGAAGAGATTCCACGAATTTCACCCACAGAATGGTTTTAAAGTAGCTGTGTTTCTCAATAACTAAATAAGCTCTGTCCAGGGGTCATTCCACCCAGGAAGGAGCCCAGCTGCTTGGAATCTGCCAGCTTTGTGTCCCTCCTCGGCTCTGGCCAGCTCACTCCCTCTGGCTGAGTCGGTGCTCACGTCAGGGATGTTAGAGAAAAGTCTTTAGAAAAGGAAGAGCTAGTTAAACATCTACGGCAGAACGGGCCTGTGTTTCGCCCTTTCGTGTCACAGTTCATCTTCGCTCAGGAACACTGTTCATGGTGCCTTTTTAGACTTGGATGTTATTTAGCAGGGCTCCTCCCGTGCTTCTGGGCCCAGAGCTGGAGGGAAGGGACGGGCTGTGGAGTTGATTATAGCAGCTCACTCTTTCTTCAACCGTTTCTGTAGAAATCCACTAAGTGTCACCGAACCAGGCTCTGTCCCTGTGTGTCGGTGACAGTGTGGTTATTTTTCTTGTCACTCTCCGGGCAGCTCAGAATGAGCAAAGTGAACAAACGGAGCCAAGCCAACAGCCCCTTCAAACTTTCAGCCTAGCAAGTGTCGGCTGTTTTTTCTTTTCTTTCTGCTTTTTTCTTTTTTAAACTTAATAAATAGCTCTCCCAAAATATTCATTCGAAGTGCTTTTCAAATATTCATCTCTTTAATCCTTGTCGCTTCTGCACTGCTGTTATCCTGATGTTATCGTGGAGGAGCTGTAATGGGGCCCAGGCACTCTGCCCTCTTGTATGTTCTGGGCCCCTGCTCTGTGCCGGCCCCCAGGGAGTAAGTACCTGTTGGATACGTTGGCCTGCTTCACACATCTCTCCCTCTCTCAGTTTGGACAGGCCACACGTGGCTAGCGGCCACTCTGTGTGACAGGGCAGTACAGAGTCTCCTGAATATCTTTGTATCTGCTGTGACCCAGCACGTTCTGAACAGCCCTAGGATCTGCGTTCTAGGAGCCTGACCTGAGGGTAGCGCTGAGATAAGTGGACGGAGGGATCGAGGGACACCCACGAAGAGCTTAGGTCAGCAGAGAAACACAGTTGTTTTCAAGAAGTCAAAGTATTTCATGAGTTTCAGAGGTAAAAAAAAAATTCAGAGGATGAAATGAAGAGGAGGTCCCTGGGTTTCACGAGCTGTTTGAGGACAGAAAAGCAGCACTTTGGAAATGTGGGGCAGGACTGCTCCAGACCAGCGGGAAAGCCTTGGGTGCAGGCTGGGACGTTTGAGGCAGAGAGTTGGGGTGCATGGGGGAGAGGACCAGGATGGAAGCTCTGAGTAGTTTTCAGGGAAGAGATTTTTGGAGTGATGGTTCACATCTTGTTTCAGAATTCAGGGCAACAGTGGTGCTCTTGTCTTTTCCTCCATGCCCTTTAAATTCCAAGGTCAGCTTTAAAGTTGGGAGCTCTGCAGGAATACTAAGGTAATAGGAAGGAGAGGCGGTGGAAACTTTTCTCCGGGCATTGAAATTTCCAAGCAGTTCTCTTATGGATTCTGCCTGGTTCACCATCCTGATCGGACCTCGGAACACTTCTCACCTGTTCCAGTCACTCCTCTGCCAGCTCCCTCTTGGCCTGCAAAAGCAGGTCCACGACCCCCATGCCACCAGCCCCGTGGTGGCTTACGTCAACCTCCCCTCGGCAAGCCCTGCCTGGGGCCTGGCAGAGCATCGCACTCAGCAAATCCCTGTCGGCTCGTTGTCCTTGGTAGTGGTTCTTTGTTGTTTTGTTTGTTTGTTTTTTGAAGTATAGTTGATTTACAGTGTTGTGCTAGTTTCTGCCGTACAGCCAAGTGGCACATTCTTTTTTTTTATATTCTTTTCCATTATGGTTTATCCCAGGAGTTTGGATAGAGTTCCCTGTGCTAGACAGTAGGACCTTGTTGTTTATCCATTCTAAATGTAATAGTTTGCATCTGCTAACCCCAAACTCCCAGTCCATCCCTCCCAGCCCCCCACCCTTGGCAACCACAAGTCTGTTCTTTGGTGGTGGTTTTTGACTGAGGCACGAGGTTCCCCTTTAAGAGAACAACAGCCTTGTGCTCAGATTTGAGGGCAGGACCGTGCCCAGGGGTCAGTCAGCAATCAGCTCTGTCTCTGCCCCACACCTCTGAGTCAGGAGGCCGGCATGCCCCTTTGTCTCCAGGAGTCCAGATTTCCTAACGTGGGGCTCTTTCGAATAGAAAACGTGAGGTTGAGTAAATACATGAGCTCATGCTTTGTTGGCACGAAGGGCATTGCGGTGTTACTCATGAAAATGGGAGTGCTCCTCGGCCCTGGGCTGGTGATGTGGTGATTCAGGCCTGCACAGTTATAGGCCAAGCCTGCTTCTTTCTTTAAGGAATACACTTGGGATTTTGTGTGTTTGTCTTTTTTTCCCCACTTTCACACTTAAAACACTTTTCCAGACCTAGGAGGAATTTTACCTTCCAGACAGATTTGTGAGAATAGCTATAGGAGCGTATTTAACTTCTCCTGTGTGGTGACCTAAAACGGCATTCCATTTCTTCAGCACTTGGATCATGAAAAAAGGAAAAGAAAGTCTGCAGGTGCCGTTTCCTCTCCTCCTCGGGGGGAAGGTTGGTTTGATCTTGCACATCAGCAGACACCGAGGAGGTGACACACGCACAGCGAGTCCAAAACTAACAACACAACAGTGTTTACCTTGAGCTCTGGCAGGAAATCATTATTCAATCTGGTTTGTTTTATCAGGCAATTCCAGGGCCACACAGACGGGGCCAGCTGTATTGACATTTCTAACGACGGCACCAAGCTCTGGACGGGCGGCTTGGACAACACGGTCCGGTCCTGGGACCTGCGTGAAGGGCGGCAGCTGCAGCAGCACGACTTCACCTCCCAGGTGCAGGCTTGTCCCTCCCCGGAACCCACGCGGTGCTCTGTGTGTGGTGCACGCCCTCCCCATACCTCCCCCGCTCCCTCCCACCCCCAAGAGTAGTAGCTAGACAAACAGACCTGGCTTTAATTTGAGATACAAACACACACACACACACACACAAATTACCCTGAAACACTTAGACTGGTTTTTAAAATGCTGTAGGTTAAGATGTGTTAGTTGTTTTACTTGTATATGAGTTGTTTCAGGAATTTGTGCCATGAAGAACATACAGGGTCTGATCTGTTGTCCATCTAATGTGGGGATGAGAAATGATTTTATTCACATATAAATAGACCTTGAGAAATATGCAGGGATATCACAAGGAGTAGAGAAAAATCATAACAGCTCTGCAAGTTGATTCATTTTGCTTAAATCGGGGAGCTTAAAAAATCCAGCAGTATCTCAGTGGATGCCCATTTTGTTACTCATCCCTCAGACACTGGACTCATGGCTGACTCGATTTATGGAGTTTTGAAATGATATAAAAATGGCAACTTTGTGGACTGTGGAGCTTATTTAGATGTCAAGTGTCTGAATCTAGGCCTGTTTGGGGAAAGATAGTGCATGCCATTTTAAGTGTTTTCTGTTGATGGTGGAATTGTTCTTTTTATTGTGACTTATTTACTTACTTTTTTTTCTTTAATAATTCCAGTCAGAAAAATAGGACAGAAATGGAAAACAACTATACGTGCAACTAAATTTCATGTCCCTGTCAAAATTTTGTTGAGTTTCTTATAGGCTTCCCTGTTCCCTTCCAGTCCTGTTCCCATTATGGGTAGGATCCTATTTTTGGTCTGCCCTTTTTTAAAACTTCTTATGGAAAATTTCAAATATATTCAATTTATGAGAACAGAGAATGTTCAAGCATATATGAAAGTACAGAGAATTATATGATAAACCACATATGCCCATCACCCAGCTTCAGCAGTTACTAACACATGACCAGTCTTGTCTCATCTGTCATCCCTGCCCCCAAACACTGGATTATTTTTAAGTAAATCCCAGACGTTATATCATTTCATCCGTAAGTATTTCAGTTAGTATCTGTAAAAGATAAGGAACCCTTTCAAACAACACACAGAGTACAGTTATTATTAAGAATAATTTCTTGATTTTATCCCCCATGACATAAGTGTTGCAGTTGTTTTTATTTTTTTCCAATTGTTTCATAAAGGCCTTTAACACTTGACTTATCTGGGTTGGCATGGTTGTCCTGTAGACTTTGCCTTTGCTTATTACCTCCTCCTGTTCTTGCTAGTTTTTCCCCTTTTCTTGTTGTCTGTTCACTTCCTAAGTCTACTGGGCAGAATGCTCAGTGAGCCTCTTCTGCTTCTTGTAGATATTCTCCCTTGGTTATTGCCCAACTGGGGAGTGGCTGGCCGTGGGCATGGAGAGCAGCAACGTGGAAGTTCTCCACGTGAACAAACCTGACAAGTACCAGCTGCATCTCCACGAGAGCTGTGTGCTCTCCCTGAAATTTGCTTATTGTGGTGAGTTCAACTGAAAGGAAACCGGGAAATGTTGATGGCCTAAATGGAAAATGCTTCTAAAAAATATAGTGGAGATGATATCTGGAAAAAAATATTGTTCTCTGAACATCTGGATGCAGTAATTCTGTTGTCTTAAAATGTCCCTCAGAGCATAGGGATGTCTGTTTTTGTCCGTTTCCCTGAGTTGGGAAAAGTCAGCAGGTGATAGAATTGCCTAATACGAAGTTCTGACACATGTTTGTTTTCAGCGGGGAGTGTCAGGGGTGTGGGTGGAGGCAACCCCTCTGAGAGGGGTTGGTGGGAGTTTATAGAAAAATGAGGCAGGAGCAGAGGAGGTTGCTATGAACTGACCGGGATGAGCAGCCCATGGGCAGAGAAGGGAACACTTAGCTGCACCCAGACCGTTACACTCTGCAGTGAGGATAATGAGGGAAGAAGTTCATGGGGGGTCAAATATTTATTCACAAGATGGATGGATGGATGGATGGACAGATGGATGGACGGATGGATGGATGGATGGACGGATGGACAGATGGATGGATGAATAGCTATCACATATTGACCATCCTATGTGCCATATGTGCTGTCTGCCATTTAACTTAGATTCGTCATTTAATCCTTCCTAGTCCCATTTTATCATAAAGAAGCTAACAGAAGACAACTTCATTGACTGACTATTCGAGGACCCACTGCATGCTCCGTGTGAAGCTACCTGTCATGTATCCGGTGGCTAACGGGACTGACATGGTTCCTGCCACCGCTTTGATTAAACCCAAGATCACGGATGGTTCACAGTGGAGCCCAGATTTAAAACCTGCTGTGTCTATTCATGTCATGGCCCAACCCCTTGGACATGATAGTTCATGATTAAAAATGCTCTGAGTTTGATTAAGCCCAAGTAGCTAATAGTATAGCAGGAATTCTAATCTAGTTAAGCCACAACCACATGTTCCTTTGCTAATTCTAGGTAAATGGTTTGTGAGTACTGGAAAAGATAACCTCCTCAATGCTTGGCGGACACCCTATGGAGCTAGCATATTCCAGGTAAGTCCGTGCTCCTTACATAGAATGACAGACAGTTGGACCACAGCATTGCTGATGACGCCAGCAGTGAAGGTGCCTTGTTGGGAGCAGGGCCCTGAGCATCTCTGTTCCACATTAAACACATGTCCATTGTTTTCTCTTCCAGTCCAAAGAGTCCTCATCCGTGCTCAGCTGTGACATCTCTGTGGATGATAAGTACATAGTCACTGGCTCAGGGGACAAGAAAGCTACAGTCTATGAAGTCATCTACTGAAAACATTATGTGGTTTAACGTTTATAGTTGAATTGGGCCAAAATGTTTTGAATTTGTAGAAATAGAAAAGTTATAACTTTAAAAACACAAAAACCTGTTTCCAAACCTTGACACAAAACTACTTTGCGTCTACAAAGAGGAGGCAGTGAGCACATCAACAGAAGGTCACCTACCTACCTAGACCAAATGGAGCACCGAGGCAAAGTGGACAGAGGGGTGAGGGTTGTGGGCTTGAGGAATGGAGCCCGCTGACCTGGGCAGAGTCCATCCTTTTCTTTCTGTGAGATCTGCCGAGATTACCTTTCTGTTCCTTGCCGTTCCCCTCCTGTCTGTCCGTGGTAGAGCCGTGGTGTCTCCAATGAACTTGTTTCCTCGTTTTGCATCTTGTGAAATGTTTTTTTGTATTTTTGTTGAAGGTTAAACATTTGTATAAATTGTAAATATATTTGGTTTATTACAGTAAAGGCTTTAGTACCAATAAGTGGTTTTCCTTCTTCTTCATTGTTTTTATCAACGCTTTGGGATCGTTGGTGCGGGTTCTATAAGCAAAGTTCAAACATTTGTAGAGGAAGTTTTAAAGTGCACTTCTTATTTTATAAATATATTTTGTCACGGACTCCCACCGCACTAGAACCTAATTAACACTTCTGAGTTAACCAGGAAGTCAAGACTAGGAATAATGAGTAACCGGAGGTTTATTAACGACGATTTTATTTGGGAAGCAAAAATAACTTTGCCAAGATTCATTCTTTTGTTTGGATACTGTTGTGATTCGAGGTCACAAATTAAAGCTTTGCCTTTTCTTGGTGATTCACTGGGAGATAGAATATTCTTTTCTCTAGGAAAGCCTAGCATTTTCAAATCTCTAGTCTCTCCCTTCACAAGCCGCACATTTCAAGAAAGGGAGGTGACTTGGGTTTAGTGTTAAGACTGATGATATCCACAAAGCTGTGGAGTTCATTAACCTGTAAAAGAAAGGTGGGATGCCTGCTGGTTTTATCTCATTAATACTTATTTGATCTATTATATTAATTGACGTGAGCCAACCACACTCAGCACTTCGCTCCATCCTTCTCGTTAAGGCTTTTCCCTGCAGCTACAGCCCTGGCTCCCTGTCATTAGTCTGGTCCTTATCTTTGTGGACAAGCTTTCACTAATTTGATTAGATGAAACCTGTAACCCTGGGCTTTTAATAAGTTGCCGTGCATGGTTCCTCCTGGAAAGGCTGCATGACTCATTCTTTATATACCTATTATTTACTGCTATATTTTCAAAAATAATGGTTAATAATTTTAAACCAGGTTTTCTGGCTGTTTAAAAATAGCACCTAAGGAATCTTTTAATGTTCTTATTTTCTTATGATCCAGCAATTTGTTGGCAGTTTAACATTTTTCGTTTGTTATCCAGACCTTCTTGTTTTTATACACTTAACATTATTTTGTTTGCTTTTTGCCAAAATAATGTTTATGTACATAGTTCGTTAAATATTTTCTCTTCTCAGTAAGTGGATGGCAAAGGCCTAATTACTAAAGCTGATTTCTCTCTCATCCCTTCCTTGTATAATGAAGTAAGTTTCTGTACTACAGACTCCGATGGCTTGTTAATGAGCTGTTTACCTCTTCTGTTCTCTCTCCTTCCCTGCCTTACCATCCCTGTTTTCTGTAGAGTAGAGGTTAAGTTGCTGTAACAGCACCCAACAGTACAGTGGCTTTGAGACCACAAAAGGGTTTGTGTCTTACCCACCTATGACCCAGAGCCTCAGGGCAGTGATGCAGCTCTGCACTTGCACCGTTATTCCCGTGGGCCTCCACTCCTAGTCAGCAGTGGGGAAAGAGTGGGAGTCCAGGGGAAGGGGTATGCTTCCAGGCAGGTGACTAGGAATTTGTCCATCACTTCCACTACTGGTCCCTTGGTGGGGACTTAGTCACGTGGGAGACGAGATTTCTCCTACTGTGCAGCGGGTGCTCCTGGAGAAGGGGGAATATATTTGAAGGGATTCTGGGTTAAAGAAATAGTCCTATTTTCTGTTGGTGCATTTTCTCCCTTCATGCTTTATGGTTTCCCAAGCTTCCAATATTCTTTCTCTCATGGGATTTTCTGAGGGTCTAGATCTTATCAAGACATCGATTATCTTGAATCTGATGAAACCAGTCCATTGCTTTTGGATGAGACTCTAGTCTGGTCCTGGAAGAGGCGTTCTACAGAGCTCGTCCCTCTGCTCGGGGTTTGGAATCTTGGGGAATTACCGAGACAGTTGTTTCCTCACTTGTTAAACGGGAACGATAAAATAGTCATACCTCCTTCTCAGGGTCTTGAAGGTCAGACTCAGGGATGTGAAGCACGACTGGGACCACCAACTGTCTCACAGATGGAGGACATGAATGGGAGATTTCTTCCTCAACTGTGAAGTTAGGAGGCCCCACTTCTCTCCCCCGGGAGATTGGAATCATGTGATCGTTGACACCTGGGTAAGCCAAATGTTTATGTACCTCTTGCCTTGAATATGGATTATAAACTAGTGTTCAACAAATTCAGATCCTCCTAGAGAGCGTGCAAGGCAGGTTCACATATAAGAATATCAGGAGATGAATGTCATTATCCCTATTTAAGTAACCAAGGCTCAGGGAAGCTGTGTCCTCCTGGCCTCATGGGAGATAGAACCAAATTCAGGTTTGTTCTTTCTAGCCTTGCAGAGTGGCCTGTGATCGTTCCCAGCTCTCCAGGTTTCCTCTTCATTTTATCTGAAATATTTACAACTTGCACATTTCCCTGATGTATAGAGGTGTGTAGATAGGTTTGTGTTTACTCATTTAGGACTGAATTTATGCAAATGATTGTTTTCCCCATTCTTTTTAATAGGTTTTATTTTATATATATTTACTCTTGTTTTTGTTCTGTTTTGTTTTAAGTCACTCACAGTCTTAACCTTGAACGTAGGTTTCTGCCACGTGGCTCTTCCGTGGGATTGAAGTTTGCTGGGTAAAAATTGAAGGCCTAGTGAGACTGGTTTTGTAATGCCTTTTTTCATAACTAGATGTTTCTGGTACTTCATAAGAAGAACAACACATTTCATCAATATGATAATTAACATTTTTAAAGTTTTTGTTATTTGGCAGATGATAGGGAAGTTTCTGACATAAATTATAATCATCCTCACAGTGGCTGAGAGATGGGATTTTTGATGGGTTAATTCTTTGACTGTTTCATGACTGGCAAGTAGCAACGGGCTCCAAAGCATTGATACAGGGATTTTTAAAATTGCACTTTCGCTAACGGCACATCGAGGTGGTGACTTTACCAAAAGTTTTCCAGCAAATCAGAGAAAGGGATCAAATTCTCAATTTCAGCATGCTGTTTAATTCCATCAAGAGATTGCTTCCTCTGCCATCAGCTTGAGCGTGAGGGAGGACATTTCAGACCCTCCGCCCTGCTGTAGATCGTGGCTTATTTGTTTCTCAAGAATATCTTCTCTTCACTCTTCCTTCGGCAGTGAAATCGTCAGATCACCACAGGTTCAGGCTCCCCTGAGCAAGATGAAGCTTGTGTGAGGCGCATCTTCTGCCCCAGTGAACTTTCTCTCCAGACAGCCAAAACTTCTCTGGCTTCATATTTTGTCCTAGCACTTCAACAGTTAAGTGGTTTGGTGTTCAGACTTTATAGTCTGCATCAGAATCACCAGGAGGACTAATTAAAATTCAGATTTCTGGGTCCCAGACTCAGAGTTTTTGATTCAGTAGGTCAGGGTGGGACCTGAGAATTTGCATTTCTCAGACAAGTTCCTAGTTGTTCCTGAGGCTGCTGGTCTGGAGACTACACTTTGAGAACTGCTAATCTAGAGCAATAATCTTTACAGTAGAATTATCAACTATTAGAGTATATTCATATTCTCTTAAGACTGGAATAACCGTATACTTTTGGCTTTGGGCTGAGGATTAAAAGTAAAATGACAATAAAATGCAAGGCATACTGTTTTGATGTTGCTGTTCTTACATTAGTCTCTGCTCCCAAAACTAACTTTTGCAGCTAAATATTATAATAGGTCTAAACCAAAATTGAGCTCTTAAAAAAGTTGCTTTTTTTTTTTTTTTTTACTTAGCCATTACTCAGTGTGAATTATGTGAGTCTTATTATAAGGCTTGGAAAACCTACCATAATCACCTCATGTAGTGGAAGCCTCGAGAATGTACACAATGTTGGAGTGGTGATGCATAATTAAAAGTTAGAAATTGTTCTTCAAAAACCGGAATACTTACTGTATGTAGAACAATAAGCTGCTGACTTTATAGAATGTTTTTCTTCTTCAAATTATCATATTAGATTCAGTCAGTCAGCCAGTGCTTACTGAGTGGGTGACCTCAACATGGGGGCGGTCACTGGGCTAAGGTGAAATTATTCCAGCGGGGGGCACTGGGGAAGAATCTACTGGCAGTAATGGAGGGGCATGTGGGTGAGTCACTGCCCAAAGGAGACCAACGGTAAGAGACGGGCAGGCAGCTCTCAGCAGTCTTGGATGTGAATTACTCATTTGACATTAGCTGGCTAGGGCCGCCGGTGGCTGACGCTCCAGCAAGTATTTGGAAGAACTGCTGTGTTCCAGGTACTGGTCCAAGGGCTTCCAGTTGTTTTCTCATGATTATTTTTTTATTCATAAAAGTATCATATATCTCTGATTTTCAATTTGGAAAATATGGCAAGGTACAAAGAAGAAAATAAAAACCTATAATTGTACCACTTAGAAATAATATATTATTTTTATGCCAATTATATCAACTATAGTACAGATGATTAATAATAGCGAACAAGTGAACAATTTGTTGAGTGTTTTACTATGTGCCAAGGACAGTTGAACACTTTGTGTTATCTCATTGAATTTTCACAAAAGCCCAATGAGGTAGTTACTGGTTTCATACTCATTTAACCGCTGAAGAAACTAAGATTCAGTAACCAGCTTGAGATCACACAACTGATTGTTTATAGAGTGAGATTTAACCCAGGTGGTCAGATTGCAAAGCCCATTGTCTTAATTCTACTGTTCTACCTACTTGTCCATGTGGTTTTGGAACCTGCTTCTCACTTTTTCTTTTGTTTTCAGCTTGACATATGATTGACAAATAAAATAGTAAAATATTTAAAGTGTCCAACATGATGATTTAATATACATATACATTGTGAAAGGATTCCCCACATCCAGTTAATTAACACATGCATCGCTTCACATATTTACCTTTTTTTTTTGCGTGAGAACACAAGTTCTACTTTCCTGGCAAATTTCAGTTATACAATACATTATTATTATCATCCTCTACCTTATTTATCTTATAACTGTAATTTTGTACCTTTACCAACCTCTCCCTATTTCTCTCAACCCCTGTCAACCATCCTCTACTGTTTCTATGAGTTTGAATTTTTTTTTTTAGATTCCACATATAATGCAGCATGCAGTATTTGTCTTTCTCTGTCTGGCTTATTTCACTTAGCTTAATGCTCTGTAGGTTATTTCATCTTGTCACAAATGGCAGGCTTTCCTTTTCAAAGGCTGAATAATAATTCCATTATATATATATATATATATATATATATATGCATACATATACTTACATATGTCACATTTCCTTTATCCATTTATCTGTTAATGGACACAAGGTATATTGTTTTTGTACATTGGCTATTGTGAATAATGCTGCAATGAACATGGGGGTGCACATATTTCTTCAAGATGATTTCATTTCCTTTGAATGTCTACAAAGAAGTGGGGTTGCTAGATCATATGGTAGTTTTATTTTTAACATTTTGAGAAACCTCTGTAGTGTTCTCCGTAGTGGCTCAACCAATGTACATTCCCACCAAGAGTTCCCTTTTCTCCATGTTCTCGCCAGTGTTTGTCAGCTCTTGTTTTTTTGGTTATAGATATCCTAACAGATGTGAGGTGATATGTCCTTGTGGTTTTGATTTGCATTTTCTGATGATCAGTGATGTTAAAAACCTTTTCATGTATTTGTTGGCCATTTGTATGTGTTCTTTGGAAAAATGTCTATTTAGGTCCTTTGCTCATTTTAAAAAATTAGGTTATTTGAGGGTTTTTGCTATTCAGTTGACTTTATTATTAAAAGTTATTCACAAACAACTTACTATGCTGGGTTTACTCTAACTTGCCCTTTCTCTTTTATTAGGCATATAGGCTATTTCGAACACCGAGATACAATTCTTATAGAGAAAATGTTTGTATATCATATTCTCGCCTTACTCCTGTTCCTTTCCTTAGAGTTAATCCCAAGAAATGGAATTACTGCATCAAGAGATAGAGTGATATTTCAGATCATTGATATTATTCACTGCCAAATTGCCTTCCAGAAATATTGGGCCCATTTATACTACCCTCAGCAAAGCATGGCAATGCTAGTTTGTTTCAGGTTGACCACATTGTTCTTACTCTAAAGAATATTTGCTAATGATGGGCCATATATGATACCTCATTTCCCCATTTAGTTTTGTTCTAACTTATATTCATTCTTTGAAAGGATCCTAAAGATCTCAGCTGTTTGATCATCCTGTCCTCATACTTAATATGTCTGTCCTGTTAACAATTCCTAGAAAACCTTTCATAGACCCTTGCGAGTTTCTTTCAGCCACTTAAAGTGGATGTCCAATTTTTTCAAGACAGCTTTCTTTTGTATAAACTTGTGGGTTTTATTTTCAATATTAAGAATCAATAGTTTATAATAATTACATGTGTTAATTATTTTCCATCGTTACTCTTTGCTGGCCTCAAGGAGGTAATTTAGAAACCACAATGACGGTAAATGTTAGTAATGAGTTAAAAGCAGGGAACTATAACCTACTTCTATAGCATTTTTGTTGTTTAAAATAAAAGGTTCTTCTGTAGTTGTGTGAGTAATATCCTACTTGTAATGAGGACACAAACTGGGCACTGTTAGGAGAACACTGCATTTGGAATCAACTCCCATCAGGTAAGGATACTAGGGGTGATTCATATGTATACATATACCTACATTCATATGTACATGGCCTTGGGCAAGTTCCTTAGTCCCTCAGGATCTTTCTTCAACTGTCAAATTGTAATAAAAATGCCTACCTCACAGCATTGTTGCAGGCATTAAATGAGATGCCATTTTTTTGAGAATTCAACAATTTTAAGAAATTTGAGATTTTTAAAACAAAATTTACAAATTTTTATCATTTTTTGAGACTTTAACCATGTTGAGAATTTAACATGATGCTGGCTGGTCACTCTTGTTTGAGAAGCTGCCACTTGAGTCCCTGTCTGGCTGACCACTGAACTTACCTGCTTCTTGTTATTTGTGAATGCCTTGGGCAATGAGGAGATGGTCTCAGAATGAACTCAAGCTCGCACATCAGTAACTGGCACTGTCAGCAACTCCAGTTTAGTCTGTTGAAGCACATCTGTGGGTCTTGTAAAGTCAGGCCTCTGTGTCCAAGACCTTCTGAGCTGGCATCTTTCCCTAGAAATAACCAAACTCAGGTGTCAACATTTGAAAAGGCAATTTCTAAAGAAACTTGGAATTGCTTTGCAGCACTTATAGAGGTGCTGCAGACTTGTTTCGGTCCTGACACCGTCTGCTGGCAACTGGTGTAGGTCTACTCTTCATAGCTTATCTCAGCTCTGAAAAAGATGCTGACAGTGTCAGTAAGTATGTTGGGAGGGTACCGTTCATCTCTTAGAACACTGATCATTCAGACTGTTCTCTCTAGGAAGAAAATGTATGCATCAATATTCCTTAGAGTTTGGATGGCATATATCTCTTGCAGTTTTAAAGGCTATACTATGCATTTCACCCAAAAGGAGTGTGCTTTAAGGCTTGCACAATTTCTACCTGTTTGTTAATTGTCAGTGTCAGCATTTTTTGGATGCATGTGGCCATCGCCCTTGCTGTAAGCAGAGCCTGATACTATTTCTTTATTTTCCTCCCTCTGTATCTAGTTAGAGAGCTAACCAGTGTAACAACCCAGTTTTATTGTATGCTCTGAAACCGACTGAGCAAGCAATAGCCAACATGCAAAGCCACTTACGCAAGTAAGGCAGGAGGGTCCAAAAATCAGATTACTGTCTTTTATATATGTAGAATCTATACAGATCTATGTCCCTAAGGAAGGAACTATAAAGCTTAAAAAAAACTGCAAACGCCTCCATCCTAATATTTCTATTTTTGCGGTATTTCCCTTAAGTCTCTTTCTATGTGCATTCACATGTAAGCACAGCACTCATTTCATTCTGTGGTATTCTGTTCTTCACATTAAACTATCACAAGTTCTTTCCCCCCATATATCTGCATAGTCTTCAGTTATTTTTATTAGTTCCATCAAATGATACACCACCATTTATTAGGCTACTTCTGCAGTGTTGCATGGTTATTATTATTTTTTTACCACATTTTAACTCTAATAACCACTACTGCATCAAGTATCTCCATGTATAGAACTTTTTTCTTCTTTTGAACTACTTCTTTGGTATAACCTCAAGCATGGGATTTTTAGATCATAGGGTGTGAATATATTATAAGCCTAGTTTTCATGTTTGTAGTTGGCTTTCTTGTTTGCATAAAAGTAAAATCTGTTCCCTCCACCCAACACAAGCGTCTCAATCAAGAGTTTTATTTTTATCAAGCATTTCAGTTGTAATATTTCATGAGAATGTTTTATATGGCAAAATGAAAGAAAGGAACACACTGTTTCCCTTTCCATAATACAAACCATCAGCACTCAAGTGAGGTCTCTGTGACAAAACCTATGCCCTTCTGGTTTTCTTATTGTATGAAGTGACCCGTATCTCACTTCTGTGCAAAAGACAGTTGATGAGAAAGACAAAGCTCTTGTTCTTTGGGTGAGTGATTCATTGGTTGATTGCCTAGAGTTTTCCACTTGGGAGCAAATTCCTTCTGTGGTTTCCAGAGCTTGAAGAGACATTAGTTTGCTTTTCAATTTACATGGCCATTCTACTGAATCCACTACACAGCACTCTGCAATTGTAATAGCCCCAATACATAACTTCACATTTGGAATGTAAAGTGCAACCATTCTTAATAGTTTAGTTTAATGGCCACTCTTTTCTTTCCCCTATGGTTTCTTGTATATTATTTTTTTAAGCAGACAGTCATTTTAATGCTACCACATTCTCCATTTAACGTACCGTCTGCAGTGAAAATCCTTTTAAAAACAACTATAGTCCCTTGGAAAGCAAATCACTCAGTATAAGAAAACACTGATCTACAGGAAGAAAATGACCCAATGAGCCCTAGTCTGGAATTTTCCTTTTTCTTTTCTTCCCCTCTAAGCAAAGTGAGCATGATGCATAAGAAAATGCATGAGTATGAGCCGTGGGGAGAGGAGCTGTTGAGACCTGTGGCATGGCACTTCTTAAGGTCCCTGGCAGACCATCATCTGTATATTTGTTTTACTTGAATGACTAGATTTTGAATTAAAGAAACCCTTGTTTTATTTTTTTTTTAAAGCCTTATGAAGTTTCAGGTCACTTTAATTCCTTTTCTTCTTTCACCCCTTTGGCTGAACCCAGGAACCGTAGCCTTCATGACTCTCCCCTTCAGTGTTATCTTCCGAGATCAGTAAAGTAAGAGTTCCTGCTCTCAGCTCTTGGGGTGGGGGGTGGGTGGCATCCCTGATTCCGTTACCAGGGAAACCAGTATCAGATGGGTGCAAAGAAGGTAAAGGGTTCAAGCATCTTATTTGAAGTAATGAACTAACACAACCCATAACTCCCCTCCCCCCCCCCCCCCCCCCCCCCCCCCCCCCCCCCCCCC